TCTGAGCATCTTTGAAAGCTGCAGGCACCTCAAGCCGCAGAGGACACCAAACTCCGCCTGTTCTCTCTCCCTGACATCCCCAGATTGTGGGGTACAGCACAGCCCTACACGTGATTTTCTACCACAAAACCAGGCCGGGTAGAACACCCGCACAGCTCAGCTGTGCCACCCCGGGAGGACAGGCACAGCCGCGTGGCGGATGTTCACAGGTGCTCCATGTCCGTACAGGTGTACGACTTGGATGTTTGCCTTCCCGGGTGTTTATCTCGGGGCTGTGTCTGCACACAAACTTATCTCTGAGGGGAGGGGTGCGTTGCTCCTGCACACACTGTTATCTCCAGGGATGTGGGCCTTCCTCCGAGGCAAACGCCGTGTGGTTGAGCTTACCTGCAGGCTCCGCGGCTTGGGACCTGCGCCGGCCTCAGCTCCATGGCTGACGGCAGCGGTGCTGGGGCCCGCAGGAGTGCTCCTGCTCTTCTCCATCCCTCCTGCCCTCTCCCTAGCTCAGCCCCAGTCCCCTTTTTACCATGCAAGCAGGTGGCACTGGAAAATGCAGCAGCTCTTAAAAGGAGAGGAAGGGAGGGAGACGTGGGAAGAGCAGAGCAGGGAGGAAGGAGGGATGGTGGTGTCCTAACGGAGGAACACTGATCCCATCTGGACATGTTTGGGGTCTCCCCACAACTTCTCTTGACAGAACAACCTCAGGAATAACCTCTCTTACCGTCTCACCCCACTATCTGGTTCGCAGAGGGGATAATTAACTCAGCCATTCCTAATGTTCATCTAACATGGCCAAACCCTTCAGAGAAACCTCCTGGCACATCCTCACCGCTGGACCTGTCCTGGCCCAGACAGGAGGTCTGCCTGCTGCACTCCAAGGCCATCACCTGTCCTGGGAAGGGAAAAACTTGCTCTCACATCACCGCAGAATCATTTGAAGACCACCATCTCAATCTCCTGTGCACGCACCGGCACTGCTTGGCTTCAGGAGGTCCAGCCCTACCAGACGGTCTCTGTGGTCTCCCTAGCACTTCTCAATTGCTCCACATCTTTCCAAAACCCCCAGAACAAGCTGTGGCAGAGGCTCCTGCAGCACTGCAGGGGGGAAGGATGGCTCCGAGCTTCCCAGACAACGCTCTCGGCAGTGCCCCGGGACGTTTGTTTTTTTCACAACACCAGGATATTGAGTCACGGTCAGCCTCCCCATAGCCTGCGCACTCACCCATGCAATCACCCTGCTGCTGGGGCGCGCATCGGCGCTCGTCTTACCCAAAACACGGCTCCGGCTCCAGGCTCCCACCGTGCACACTGGACCCTCTCCCTGGGCTCAGAGGCTCTGAACCTGCTGAAATGAGGAAAATGGGAAACTCCTCTTCTGGCAGAGCTCCGGAGTGAGCACAGTTCGTGTATTCGTTGCCTCACATCTGCCCAGTCTCCTCTAATTTGCCCAAGGGCACTCGGCCTCTTACGCCTGCAAGTTCAGCTGTCACGGGCTGTGGGAAACCTCAGCTTTGGAAATGCTGCATTTACAGTGATGCAACTGGGGAGACATTCGTCGCCCGAAGTTGTTTTTAAGGGGGGGAGGTGGATTAACCAGCCTGGTTTAGGAATTGACCCCCAACGCAGACGGCGGTGGCCAACTGCCCGCCTCGCAGCCTACATGAGCTGTAACCCTACCTCCCTTCCCCTCCCTCCCCCACAGCCCCGGTCCCTTTGCTCACACGGTTCCTGCAATTCCTGGCCCTCGGCTTCGATGCGTTGCACAGCTTCCGCCACCATCTGGGCTCCATTTAGGGGAGCTGATGTTTTTCACAGGGCTGTAATCTAAACTTTGGTATTGAGTTTACATCTCGCATACCAGCGTCTCACCACTGAGCCTGGCCACGCAGAAGGGGTGGCTCGGCTGCCAGGCTCTGTTCCACCGCAGGAGGATGCGGCGTGTTGGCAGCTCCGCGTACCTGAGAATCGTGATGCCATGAATGCAGAAGACCGAGAATCGGGGATCCATATGCACAAACTGCCCACAGGTCCAGCCAGGCACTGACCCTGCCGATGGGCACGAACTGGGAGAGCCCAACAAGCTGGGAATCAGGTCAGATTCCCCTGGGAGCCAGGAAGGCTGCAGATGGGAGTCAAAGCTCTAAATCAGGATTATCCAGGCTCCATCTCCAGCAGCAGGAAATTCTCCTAATTTTTGGCCTTAAACCCTACCCTTATCTCCATGCAGACACTGCAGAGTCTTTCAGAAGCATCAGGCCCTGCAAGCGGCGATGGAGGTTGCTCCTTGGAGGAGGGCTTCTTTTGCGGAGGCAGGGAATGGACACCAAGAGCCACTGGGAGCAGCCAAGCATCCAGCGTAGCATCACAGGCCTGCTGCTGTTCTGCTTGACCCAGACCGAGCAGATACAGCCTTTGAATCCAAGTTCTACCTCCATCTCCCCCCAGCAGCAATCCCAGTGCCCAGAGCCTGAGCCCTGCAAGCCGTGCCTGTGGAGCGAGTAAGGAAGATGAGACGCAAAGGGATGGTCCCCTCCCACCATCACCTCTGAGCAGCTGGCACAGTGTCCAGCTTCAAACTTGCCCTTTTGACGCACAGGTATACCTGTCCTCTCCAGGTGCAAATGGACAACCCAGAGCACAGCTCCCAACCCCTTCTGAAGCAAAGTCTGATTACAAATTTGGCCACGTTAAAGAGGTGTGAAAAAGCACCAGTGTCTCCCAGTTGTGTGTCACATCAGACCATAAGGTGACAGCAAGGTGGATTGAGAGCTGGCTGTGTGACAGAGGGTTGTGATCAGCGGCACAGAGTCTAGTTGGAGGCCTGTAACCAGTGGTGTCCCCCAGGGGTCAATACTCGGTCCAATTTTGTTCAATATATTCATTAATGACCTGGATGAGGGGACAGAGCGTATCCTCAGCAAGTTCGCTGATGATACCAAACTGGGAGGGGTGGCTGACACTCCAGAGGGCCGC